GTCAAGATGCTTAAGTCCAGCTCTTGCCACAATGTGTTCTTGACCTTGTCTTCTACTACTGAAGTTAGGCTGCATTTGGGCTAATGTGAGAAGCATTATAAGACTGTTACGAACTGAGCAACACTACAGTGGGCAGGGTGCTTGCCTTGCATGCGAATGACCCCAGTTCAATCCTTCGCACTCCATACAGTTCCCTGAGCCCGCCAGGAATGATCTCTGAGTACAGAGCCAGGAGTGACACCTAAACACCCCTGGGTGTGGCCCCCAAACAAAAAAACAGACAAGACTGTTATAAGCATAGCAGGCTGGGCTTTACTGAGGGGCACAGGACAAATTCCCATTTCCTTAGCATAGCTTGAACAGAACAGAGTATGTCACTGGGTCACTGACAGTTGCATTCCCAATTTTGGGGTGTATTTTATGATGACTGGTCTGGCTTGATGAAGGTGCTCAGGAAATATTTGTACACAAAGAAATGAAGAGAACAAATGCAATTTCATGGACACAGCTCCCCCACCGTACCCCTCCAAAAAACAATTCCAAACAACAACAAAAAACGCTGGATGGTAAAGCCCTTACTTCTACAGTCAATTTGTACATTTTAAGGAACAAGCAGGGAACATTGTTTGTTTGTTTTTTTTTTAAAGGATATTTTTTCACAAGACAAAAGGGAATTGTTCAAGGAAGAAAGAAATAAACAAACAAAAAAAGAAAACCCAACCCCAATGCATAAGTCATGTCCTAGCATTGCAAATATTGGTCACTAGTAAGATACTGACTAACAATATCTTAGTTGGATCTTAGTACCAGAGTGGCAAATATCATATCACTTCATCTGTCTCATATCATAATATATTTTTCCATTCTAATGTATAATCTCAAGTGCATTCTTTCATAAGCACATGATACTTATTCTATTTATTTTACTTAATTTTATTAGGTTTTGGGCTATACCAGTGGTGCTCAGGGAAAATGTTTGGCACTATGCTTGAGGGTCTCTCCTGGCGGTGCTCAGAGGACCCTGGGATGCCAGAGACCAAGCCTGGCCATGGAACATGCAAAGAATGAGAAAAGTCAGATGAACTATCTCTTGCCTCCCCACAGTCTCACTCTCCACTTTATTTTTAAAGAAATAATCTCTGGAGGAGTTTTAAACTCAAAAGGTGCCTGAAAATTAGCTAGTGTTGTTCACAAAATAACCAAAACTTTGTTTAGTCAGTTTCCATAGGTGTCTGTGTGGATGTATGGATGTGTGTGCAGTGTGTGCATGTGTGTGTGTGTACACATGTATATACATTTTTTATTTTGCAAAAATGGATTTGCTGCAAGAATTTTAAGTATACCATAAAAATTACTATTAAAGAAGCAGCAGAACAGAATAATCTTAACTCAATTAAGATTTCTAAAAATGAAGGTACTATTAGCATCAAAACGTTGCTGAGTGGCTTCCATTTTTTTGTTTTGTTTTGTTTTGTATGGGGGGGGGGACATACCCAGTAGTGCTCCTGGCTCTGTGCTTAGGGGGACCATATGTGGTGCCAGCGATCAAATCTACATGTAAGGCCTTTAAGGCAAGAGCCTAAGTCTCATTCTTCCCTTTCTGGCCCTGGTTTCCATCTTTGGAAAATCACTTGGTGATATTCCCTACAGAATCATTTACAGTGTTCCGATTTACGAGAGTCTAGAGAAAGGAGGGGAAAGGTATCTGTATCCACCTCCTCTGTCTACAACTCTGGGGCACGCCTACTTTCAGAGAAACTCAAACATGAGTCAGTAGTGAGTTGATTATTTTAATTTTCAAAAGCCACCTGCTTGCCTGGACAAGAACCTGTTCATGCCAGTCAGCAGGAAGGTAGCAGGTGCTTCTAATTTCTAGATTTTTAATATGAGCAGGTAAGTCTGGATCAAGTCAGCCCTGAGAAGAGGCACAGACCAACCTGGTTCATAACATATCTGGCTCAGTTATCTGCTTACACGAACTGCGGAAGGCTATTCTGAAGAGGTGTAAGGACTTGTCAGGGTTTGGTGAGAAATGTGTTTGGCAAGTGGGCATTGACTTCTTTGAAGTTCCCAGTGACAGCCAATCAAGGCTGATGCTGGTGTCCCCCATCCCAACCCCCCATCAGTTTGGTGGCTACTCTGAGCTGCTGCTTTACCTGAGGACTACATTTTGATGCTGACACTGACATTTGTTTGCAGAAGAGCACCGTGATGGTCTAATTTGCAAACTTATTCTCCTGGCTGCTTGCTTTTTTTGTCTTGTTTTTAACTGCTCTGCAGACTAGTTAAATCGCTCAACATCACAGCACAAATGCAAGCCTCTGGAAGTACAGGTGTTTCGGTCATACACCTCTTTCAGGGTAAGGTTCCAGTTGCGTGGGAAGAAAGAAGGCACCTGGTTACATGCTTCTGTCTGGAGAGAACGGCAACATCCGTTTTCTCTTGAAGAGAAATGTTTGACCATGTGTTCTTACTAAGCAAAGCCCAAAAAAGCTGGCTGACGTCATTTCAAAATATGAGCGCTTGCTGAGCTCTTGTTGCATCAACTGCTTACAAGGATTATTCTAAGCATTAGCTACATTTTGTTCCTTATTTTGTAAACAGTCAACCTACCTACCCTGCTTCAGTTCTAGTGACCCTGATTCAGTGCTAGAGACCTGCATTCTTCTGCAAATCACATTGCTTCTCCTGCTAACTCAGTGCCTGAATCACTTATTTGTAGGACACTTGGGAGGGTATGGTAATGTTTGGAGTAGGGAAGAAAATAACTTAAGAAAAATTCTTATTATGATCATGTGTAGATGAAATATGGGGTTTGCCATTGACCAAATTGCACAACAATTCCACCGGGAGTCAGACAGTTCTGGGTAATTCATCTACAAAAAAAGTGAACTTTAATTGTTACTCTTGGCAGCAATCTAAGAGAAGAGTGAAATATCATACTAAATATTGCCACGTGCAAGAGTAAAACGCTCTTCCCTCCTTGCCAGAGATGGGAGTGCAGCCCCTCACGTTTGGATCTGGCCATGGAGACTAAATCCTGTTTCCCCCTGCTCCAAAACCAACAGAGCTCTTCAAAAGAGATGTGTTTTTTATTAGGACCATTTGCTCTTTTTCAGTTTGCAAAAGAGAAATGAGTAAAACTAGGACTTTTCTTTGGGCTGAAGTTGATTCCGCAGCTTCATAGAGGTCAATGTACTTGGTCTGAGAGACTTCTAATAAGAAGTTCACAGCAGCACCAAGCCAGCCAAGTTATGCTTTGGTCCTTTCCCTTCTCTTCCCATTCCCAGCTCCTAGTTCACAGAGAGAAAAGGAGCTGGGAGTATGTGAAAACTAATCAAAATGAAACATATCTAATGGAAATTACACCCCTGACTTTCTAGAACAACTGAAATTTCAAATACTTTTGTTGCAATTACTAAATAATAATTGTTATTTAGAGATCAAGTGTTTTCATTTGGGCTTCAGAAAAAAAAACTAACTTATTCTAATTAGGTAGCTGCAATTTTTTTTAGACTTAAACATCACTGAAAACTGCTGCAATATATAGTGTACAAACATGGAAAGGATTAGATGATACTTTGAACTAGACAGATTTTTTTCCTCCTAAAAATGAAGTAAAGTCTTCCATGAACATATTAATCAAATAGTTATTTTATATGGTACTGACTACTTGGACATATAATCACAGATTTTGGCTAATCATAAAAATAGAATAAGCTACTTGCAATTTTTTTTAATAAACACACATTTCCAGCATGAAAATCTGCATACCTTGCTATAATTCACTAAATATACATTATAATTATATGTAAGATAACACATATTGACAACATGATTCAAATTTTAAAATGTTTAAGCTGGGGGAGATAGGAGCCAGAAAGATTCTACAACTTGCATAGAATTATTCAGTATGTTACCCATTGATGTGAGGAACAGAATTTCAAATTCTTTTATTGTGGTGTGTGTGTGGTGTGTAGGTGGATACCCAGCAGTGCTCAGGAATTTCTCCTGACTCTGTGCTCAAGATCACTCCAGCAGTGCCTGAAGGACGATATGTGGTACTAGGGACAGAACTGGGGTTTGTTGCAGGTACGGCAATCGCCCTAGCCTCACTATTACTTTGTTGGCGCTGAGAATTCCAATTTTTAAACAGAGACTCAATATACTGTGGAATACTATTTTATTTTGAAGGGGATATAGGGTGATACAGATATTTTGGGGAGTAAATTTAAGTCTGCAGATAAGACCCAAAAGTAATTTTTCTGTTAACTAATTAATTGGTTGAAATTATGGTAATCTGAAATGAGTAAATACATTAAACTTCAGGAAATCTGTTACCTACTCTATATAATGATCTGCTTGCTTACAACATGGGCTATCTGTGCCAACATACAAAAGACTACTGTTAATAAATTAGTTTAATGGAACTATAACCCTCATCAGCCATGGGAAAGAGTTAGGACTTAGTTTATATTGTATACAATTGTATGAAGGCTGTATATTATATGGCTTTGTAAGAACTTCTAATTTATAGAAAGGTACATTAAAATTATGCCTGTTTCTCTAGTCATGGGAGTTTTAAAACAAACAAAGATTTCCTAAACACAGGGACTAGCTATTATTATTAGTAGACTCAAGTCAACCAGACAGACAAGTTGTTTGCATGGTGGAAGGGAGGAGGGGTTTAAGATACAGTGACAAATGCCACTCAGATATCAATGGCAGTAAGCAGTGGATAAATTAGGAACCCATAGGCTAACTAGACTTGGAATCTTCTGTGAAACTGACCTATAATGTGGAAAGTCAAGGAAATCTGCTTTATATGTCCTGCTCATTTTTTTTTAAGTGTTTGCTGTTTACTTACATATCAAGGGCTACATGTGTTTGCACAAAATTTCTAGTTTCTTTGGAGGGGTAATACTTCCTGCTCTCCCTTTAAAAAGGGGGGGGGATATAAAAATGTTTTGCCTGTGACAGAATAGGAAAGAAATTCTCACCCTTAAAACCAGCAGCATTGGTTTTCCAGTCATTAGCGTTCAAATGTCCTGCACGGGAAGTCCTGACAATAACATGCTGCACATCTCTCCAGGTCAGAAACGGACTGGGGAAAGACAAGGCAAGAATCATTGTACCAAAAAAAAAAGATGGGGGAAGCAGAGTCACAAGCAAATTCAAAAAGCGAAAGCAAACTGGCAAAGTACGAAAAACAAAGGGTCAGCAATTTGGATTGGGGACAAACTTGGCCACTTTTGTCCTCCGTGTGGAGTAGTGGCTATCGTCTACAGGTGGCAGAAAAGGTAACCTTACATGTAAGAAATGATGTGATATTACTCAGTGAGGTAAGGTAAAGGCCCTCCCGTTGATCGTCGATTTGCTCGAGCGGGCCCAGTAACGTCTCCATTGGAGACTTTGTTGTTACTGTGTCTGGCATATCGAATACTCTCGGTAGCTTGCCGGGCTCTCCGAGAGGGGCGGAGGAATCGAACTCGGGTCGGCCATGTTGGCCGCTTGTAAGGCGAACGCCCTACCCGGAGAATTTCCAGTTGCTTCCTAAACAAAATGAATGCCAATTCTGGTCCTGCTGTCCTTTTTTTTTTTTTTTTTTTTAGTAAAAACTTGTATTATCACTGAAAAATTATAATACGCTCAAGTGAAAACTGAAGGCATTGGGAACATTCCTTGTTTGGTTGTCTAGCCTGGCAACTGATTTGTAATTTAACAAAGAACTCAGAAATGTTTAGCATTCTGCATGTTGGGTGGGATAGGGGAAATAGTCTGATCTCAAACCAATTTTCACATTTTCTGTGTTCTCCAAGGAAGGGGATATGGTACAGAGCCCACAACTGAACTCAAAGGCACAGATAGCAGCGGGGATATTCTTAGTTTTAAGTCAGCAGTTATTATAATAAACTAAAGGATATCCACTCCTTGTTGTTATTAGTACTGAAGAGCACAAAGAAAATATTAAGCAGGAGTACTTTCACTGGAGATGAACAATCATAAACAACACAGAAAAAGAAATTCAGTTCATATTCATAGACTTGTTCTCTCTCAAAGCATATATACATTTGATTCAGTGGGAGCATGCAATTGTAATTAGACTACTTTTTCAACGGTTTGAATGGTAGGGATGGGGATCTTTCAATTAACTGAGAGACACGCAGTATCATGGAGCTTGTAGAGTTACTTGTCTGGTTCTCAGCCACCACTTTCATTCTAGGAGTGGATACGCCGTAGATGCGCCAGAACAGTTGGATAGGGGACAGTGACTCACTACCTTCCTTGAGAAATGACAGACAGGGGCATGCAGCAGCCCTGTGCCTCCTCATACGCCTAGGGGTAATACTGGTAATTCCTCTGCACAAAGAAAGCTGGCATCTTCATTGTTCCTAATTTTCACTAATGGAACTGCCATTGCTACCCTCTGGATTTCACTTTCCCATTCCATCGAATGTTTATGGAAGATGACACCCAAAGGCGAATGGACTGCACACTCAGATTCTACTCCTCCTTCTCTACCTCTTATGTATCGAAATCCCTATGTCAAGGTCTTAATTTTCCTTAGGATGTGCATGCTTCACATCGCTTCCCCTTTACTGTACCAACGGAATCAAAGTAAGACCAAGTCTCCAACTTGGTTCCAGGGGCTTCACAGCCAATAAGGAGGCGGTCAGTACATCATTTTGATGAATGTGATGACTCACCTACTATGTGGTGGCTTGAGAGGTGAAGACGGGGAGAGAAATGCACAAAGTAGTTGGTTATACCTTTGTTTTGCCCGCAGATTATAAATAAAAGATTGATATTACTGCCCTAGGAAAATTTCAGAATTAGGAAGGTTGGCTCTTGGCAAATGCTAGTGTTCTAGAAGCTCCAGCTCAGGCAAGATGTGAAAGCAATCTTTCACTTTCTCAGTGTGAGTGGCGATAACATCTACAGTAGAACTTCCATTAAAAAGACATGCTAATCATATATGGTAAGGCCGCTCCTCTCATTAAACACAGAGGTTTTAAATTTTTCATTAGCAACATCAAACTATGAAAAAAGCATAATTTGGATTTGGTAATTATATCTAAACCATCCTAATGATCATATTTTTTTCACCTCAGTAATTTTAAAAGAACATTTATAATAATTAAAATGTTCAAGTTTTGTTTTACACATTATCCTCTAGTGGAAAAAAAAACAAAAACAAAAACAAGCTTTCCACATTACCTATGATCTGGGTGAGATTGCTTCAGAAATAGCAAGCATAATATTCAACCCTTGGGAAACCATTCCTTGGTGCTCCTTGGCACTAAAAGCTTAATTTTAATACCAGAACAGGAAACACTTATTTCATAACTTAAGGAACTTTATTCAGATAGGTTCAGAAAGCTTCCTGCATTCAACTGCGCCTGAAGACATGAGTTAACGTGTCTCATGCTGAGTTGCAAAAATGAGTTCTTCTTGGAGTGTTTGTAATTAGAAAGAAGAAATCAGCTTCAGGAAATTGGAGCTACATGTGGAAAAGATGCATTCCAATAATTTTACTGTGATATTTGATAATGCATGACTTCAAAAAATAAGATTTAATTTCCCAATTTCCCCGATTTCACCAAAACAAAGTAGGAAAGGTAATAGGGGAAACCAAGGGCTTTGAAGCTGTGGTATTGTTACCTATGGGAGATAGAGGGAATCAGAAAGTCAAAGGATAATTTGCTAGTATCCAGAGAAGAATTTTATATATGGGGAAGTTTGACATTTTGTAATCTATTTGTACTCATGTTCATAGGGATGATGTAGACATGGTAAACTATGTACAGTGAAAAAAGAAAAGAGAAGCAAGGACCAAATACCCTGTGCCAGGAACTTCATAGTCCACAAAGGGAATATAGGAGATACCATCCCACCCCCAAAATATTAAATGACATGCCCCCACCAAAAATATCTCAACTTTGTGCCAATTACCAAGAACCCTGACTCCACTGGCCTTTGAAAACTGAGATACTCTTCTCCCCTCCAAGAACAGAATGTCCGTCTGCACATTCAAGCTTTGGGAGAACAACCATAGCAAAGTCAAAAGTCCATCAGACTTGGAGAACAAGAGCAGTTTCTCTGCCCTGAGTGTATGAGTTTCTGAGTGGTCTGGTAGCCTCAGAAATCATAAGGAGCTCTGAATTATTGACCAGTACCCTTAACCTGCAAGATAGGCTAAGAGGGAAACATTTAGAAAATGCCTGCAAAAGGCTGCTAGTTCGTTATGATCTTTCAAAGCAATAAAACATACAAGAGGGACTGGAGCGACAGTACAGCAGGTGGGGCATTTGTCTTGCACACTGATGACCCAGGTTCAATCCCTGGCACCCCATATGACCCCCTGAGCCTGGTAGAGTGATTCCTGAGCACAGAGTCTGAAGTAAGCAACTGAGCACTGCTGGATGTGGCCCTACTCCCCACATAAATAAAATGACATAAAGACCCCACAAATTTGGAGGGAGTCTAGCACACATATCCTTTTCCTGTTATGATGTTTTGAATCATTTTATTATATATATTTTTTGTTTCTTAAGACCACATCCAGTGGTGCTCAGGGCTTATTTCCTTGCAAGGAGCCAATCCTTGGGCTCCTGTCTCCTGGCTGTGCAAGGAGGAGGAGATAGAATGTGCTGCCGAGGACTGAACCAGTGCTGGTCTTGTGCAAGGCAAGCATCTGGACTCCTGTACTCTCTGTCTGTCTGTCTGTCTCTCTCTCTTGCCATTCTTCATGTTTTAATTAAAAAAAATTAATAACCAACATTTAGTGAGCATGTGGTCATGTTCAGGCACTGCAAGTTGTATGTATATCATTATTTTTTTCTAATCCTCCAGTATATCATAAAGGCAAGGTTATAAGCCCATTTCACAGAAGACAACTGAAGTTTTGAGTTACATACAGAAACTAGACCCAGGGAGTGGCAGTCCCCATTGTTCCAATCAGCTGCACTAGGCTGAACACTATTAATCTCTGTTTAGTGGGATCCCACAAAGATGAAATGGACATACGGAGATTTATCAGGTGACCCCTCTGATAAATGGCTCAGGAGTCATGTGTGCTATGTCACATCTTCATCTTTATGGTCACACACAGTTTTTGTACCTGCACTGTCTATCTCGACAGGCTGAATCTTGCTTGCTACAGGAAATTCTTGAGACTGAATTTGCTTTGTAGACTCCAAAGACCTAGCCTTTTCATACTCTATCAAGATGAAGCAGAAAAACAGCCAACTAGGAAAATCATGCTATTCTTAATGCTGTTTATGATGTCTCATGCATAACCACACTGTTATATGATTTTTGAATACTATTGTTAACAGGTTGTCAAACTTTGCCCAACATGAACACACACTGACATGGCTTGTGGTCTTTTGAGGACTCTCCTCTAGTCAGAGAACCTGAACGGAGCCCCAACCTAAACACTTTCAGCTACAAAAACAAGATCATTAACAACACTATCACCGTTAGCTGGTATTTACATTAGATTTGCCCTCCCCCTCCGAGATTCCATGTATTTATATATTTTCTGTGCCCCAAAGTAGGTTTACGAGAAGTGAGACAGTCTGTGCAGTGCTTCCGTTTTTGACTTCTAAATGTAAATGCTAGCACTTAAATTTAAAGAATAAACAAACAGAAAAGTGTGCCCTCCAAGAGTTTCCCTTGATGATTTTGCATATGAGTGAATGTATGAAATGAATCTGGACTTGTTGGTCTGGAAAAACAACAAACAATTTGGGGAGCTGGGGAGATAGGAATTAAGGTACGTGCCATGCATGTAGCCAATCCTAGGTTCAATCCAAGGCATCACCTGGTCCCATAAGCATCTTTGGATAGACCTGTGGATGCCTCCGCAGAGCTGATTCCTGGTACTCAGAAGCTCCCTAACCCTCAAAGTGAGGACAGCAGAAAATCCAGGAAGAAGCCCCTCAGCCTCCTGGGCACTGCTTGAGAAGCCCCACCAAAACCAAAACAAAACACGAAACAATGGAGTGACAGAGTCACTTGCATTTGTTGAATAGAGAGAGAAAAATTAAGCTTTCTCCCCTAATTCCCAAGTGGATGTAACATCACAAGCAGTTTAGGGGC